CAACATTTACAGGTTGGCGACTTACAGAAGAATAAGCAAAGGAGGCTGAAAAGGAGCGAGTGGCCAGTGAGGTGGGGGAGATCCAAGAGAGTAGCTTCCCAGGAGTCAATGGAAGACAGTGTTTTAAGGAAGGGTAGATGCATTAAATTAAATAAGCACGAGGCCATTGGCCTGAGGCTGTCTCCAGATTTTTGAGCTCCTAGTTAACAAATTCAAACCTAACTTAAGAGTATGTGTTTTTTGTTTGTTTGTTTTTGTTTTTGTGGCAGGACACAGTGGCTCACACTTTTAATCCTAGCATTTTGGGAGTCTGAGGCAGGAGGATGGCTTGAAGCCAGGAGTTCAAGACCAGCTTAAGCAAGAGCAAGACCCCATCTCTACAAAAAAAAAATATTTAAAAAATTAGCTCGACATGGTGATATGCACCTGTCATCCTAGCTACTTAGGAGGCTGAGGCAAGAGGATCGCTTGAGCCCAGGAGTTTGAGGTTTCAGTGAGCTATGATGATGCCACTGCCTTCTAGCCTGGGCAACAGAGAAAGACCCTGTCTCAAAAAAAAAAAAAAAGAGTATTTTTTTGTAACAACTGGCCAGGTTTTAGCCAATCATAAACAGCAAAGCTCCAGCCAGTTATAAGCAGCCAACGTATCAGACAGTGGCCAAATCAAATAAGGCAGATGCCTACTGCAGCCAATTGAATGCTTTCTATGCTTTGCTTCCATGTTCGTCTATAAAAGCTCATTGCTCACACTGCTGATTCTGAGTGCTGCCCGGTTAATGAATTGTTCTTTGCTCGAATAAACTCTGTTAAACTTAATTTATATAAAGTTTTTCTTTGAATGGATGATTATCTGTGTTTGATGCTGCTGATTGCTCAAAAGATAAGGTCTGAGATGTGCCCGTCAGCTGTAGTAACGTGGAGTTGTTGGCAATGTTGACGGGAGCCTTGATGTGAGCTTACCTGTGGACTTAGCTTTCCTCAGACTTAGGTCAGTGGTTTTGTAATGAGCCAGTCCTGCAAGATGGCCCATGATCCACCTGAGATGCCCTAGACTTTATGTTCTGGAAGCACAGTCTTCTGCCTGTCTTCATAATTTGAGCAACAGTCTCTACAAGACCAGAAGATGCTTTGAGCCCCCAATCTACAAGCTCCTCAGAACTTGGTTAAGTAGCACAAGGCAGCTCCAACTGTGCCCCATGGCCCTGGTGATGAGGAAGAGTCAAAACAACGGTGGGTTCTCTGGAATTATGGAATTAATATCCATATTATGCATGGATATGCATGGAATTATATTGCAAGGAATTATGTTTGGATTTGAACAAGTTCCCAGAAAGCTTTAGTTGTAACAGTGAAAACTCAGATCCACTAAGGGCATGGATGGGGGTTTACTTTTGTTTCACTTTAATTGCCATAGAGCAGATGAGGAATATTCCAAACAAAAGCATACTCTTTAGTCTACAGAGATTCTTGCTCCAAATACCTGTCTGCTTCATTATCCTACTTAGGGAAGAATCCTGGAGTTTTGCCTAATGATGAAATTATGAGAATTGAGAACTAAGACTGACTAGTATGACCACTAAGACTGACTAGCATATACGGAGTTGGGGGCCACCTGGGAAACCTAGGATGTGAAAGTCAAGGTCTAGATCAGAGCTGGCTCCAACTCACCTCCTCTGGAGCCTCTTCAGTCTCCTTGGCTCGAAACAGAAGCCACAACCAGCTTCAAACTGCAGATCATGAAGCCTGGGCACACACCATCCATCTCTGAATCACAGAAAAGTGTCCCCTCACTGGCTTCCTTCCAGCACTGATAACCCTTTACTTCTCCCTGTAAAATTCCCAGGGTCCTGCCCTGTGGCAGCCTCACCTAGGGAGGGAGGAGAGGAGGAGAGGATTTCCCTCCCACTCTGTCCCCTGGGAAGACAGCAGGATGGATTTGGGGTCGGATCACCTGCATCTGAATCTCAATCTCGAGTCGTGTTTCTGACTTGTGTGTGGCCTCAGGCACACACTTGCACCTTCTGAATCTCACAGCCATCAGATGGAAGTGGGGACACCAACACTATCACCTCCCTTGCCGCACCCTTGTGTAGAATTAGAGTGTAAGAGGCGACGTGTATACAACACCTGGAGAGGGTCTGGCCCATCACCGGGGTTGAGAGTTTCACTTTCTCCCTTCTTTTTTGCAATATTTTTCCTAGTCTGTATTGGTTCTTCTCATGGCCTTCCTGCTATGCAAGTCAAGACCCATTCCTGAGGACCCTGGACAGGTTCGGGGGAAGAAATGGTCAATAGCTCTGGAGGCTACTCTTGTGGACTACGGAAGAATGGCATCTCTATACCATGCCTTGTAGGTCTGCAAGGTGTTCATGGAGTTCATAGGGACGCAAGAGCTAAGTGAGGTCACGTGTGTACACACACACTTATAGACAGCAAATTGTTGGGTCAATATCACCCTCTGTCCCCTCTCCCCCTGCATGTCTCTAGGCGGAAATGCAGGTCCTGTTAGCTTGGTGTCTTCATTCCAGCTGGGACCAACCCTTGTTTTGCTGCATGAAGGGGCTTCCACTCCTTATCTCCCTTTGGGGGGGGGGGAGTGGGCGCTCCCCATCCTGGGAGGCATTCCCGCGTAGGTGGCAGGGCTGTTACAGAGGGCGAAGTGAGGGTGAGACCAGAGGGTGGGTTGTGGGACTAGCCGGACATCTGAAAATATTGTCTGGAATATTATTCAGCCTTAAAAGGAAGGAAATTCTGACACACCATGGATGAACCTGGAGGACATTATGCAGAGCGAAATAAGCCAGTCACATAAAGACAAATACCATACGATCCCACTTAAACGAGGTACCCAGAGTAGCCAAAATTATAGAGACAGAAAGTAGAATGGGGGTTGCCAGGGCTGGGGCGAAGAGGAGCAGCAAGGAATGTCCAATGGGAAGTCAGTACAGAGCTTCAGTTTTACAAGATGAGAAGGGTTTTTTGGATGGGTGGTGGTGACGGTTGCACAGCACTGTGGATGTACTTAATGCCACTGAACTGTACACTTAAAAATGGTTCAGAAGGTAAATTTGATATTGTATGTATTTTACCACAGTAAAAATATTGGCAAAAAATGGTCTGACTTCCTTTGATGAGACAATCCCTGTATAAGACAATGCTATTCATATATTTAAAAACACACGAGAAAATTTCATGTGCAGTTTATGGATACAGCTACATTTTTATAGCAAAGAGATGAAAATGAGATGTCTTGGTCCTGTTTCATGGTCTGGAGTGTGGTTTTGTGGGTGTGTTCACTCTCTAAAATTTTATGAAGCTGTACACCTACGATTTGTATACTTTTCTCTATTTGTGTCAATAAAATTGACATTTGAAACATTTAAGAGGAAGCAAACACATTGGCAGCTCACAGGCTGTAGCAAAGAACGGAGTGAGTGAGTGGCTTTGTGTCCTGCCCCAGTGTCTAATGGGTCACTGGCAGTGCCAACTGTGCTGTCTGATAATGCCAGCTGCCCCTATGTGGCTCCAAAAGTTCATTCTTTCCTTGGCAACTTCAGCCACAGTCTGCACAGATAAGTTTTTTCCAAGAGAGAATTAAGCAAAAAATGTTTCCAGTGTATTTCCTTCTCCCTGGGATCAGACTTTGCCTTGGTATTGTGACAGTTATGTAGGATCTACTGCAGAAATACACAGGGGTGACAAACCGTGTGAAAGAGCCCCACATGGCAGAGGGCAGAGGCTGGTGGGTACACACCTTTCTGCTCCAGGTGAGCAAATGGCCCAGGGAGCCCAGCACACATTCTCTGGGTTGGGCTTATTCCAGCAAAAATCCATGTTCTATCTCTGCAGCTGTATTAACACTTGGTGCGACAAAAGACACAATTCCATGGGACCAACATTTGTTAGGCAGGTGTTCTACTTGAGCCCCAAACATGAAGAAGTTAGCTGAATCTTTCCCTTTGTTTTATGACAGTATAAGTGTTATAATTCAGCACAGATTGTTTTTACTGGAAACATTGTTTTCTTTTTCCAGAGAGGATAATGTTTTCTAAACATATAAATACAATATTTTAAAAATGAATCTAAGCTAGGACATATTTAAGGTTGTTAGAACTTGGCAGTCCATTTCTTTTTTCAAAAACCTGAATTATGTGTCTGACAACGTATGGCCTCAATAACATGTTAGCTTGAAATACAGGTAAACTGATGCAACATTGCAACTGAACACATGAGGAAACCCCGAGTATGCCACAGCCTCAAACAAGACTTGTATGTTTGGCAAAGTTTATTTTTAGAAGCAAAAGTGCCTGGCAACTTAATTGAAGCCCTACAAGTCAAACATTTGTTCCACTTAATTGTGATAAGATGTCATTCCATTTGACTGTTTTAATGTCTTCCTATCATTTGACTATCCTTCCAAACCGATTTTACTATAAGTAGAAATTACAAAATTTGGAAGAAAATATATTTTAAAAATAACAAACATTTATTTTGACATTTCTACCTTGTTCACTAAAATAAAAAGAATGTGTGGGATAACAACACATAATTTATTGTATGTGTCAATTAGGGGGAAAAGTTTTCTGGGTTTTTCTGACAATACACCTGTGTGGGTGACACATTTTGCATCTACTGTAGTTAAATACTTACTTTTCCCTTTCTTCAGCTTCTCTTCCTCTTAGTACTTGCATGCTCCCTCTTTCTTTGGTATTCTTGTTAAACTCACTGTCAAGAAAGCTTAAGACGCTCCTTTATACTACAGTGTCAATGGTTGCTATCTTCCGTAACAGTCATCTTGCCTAAAGATACTGGCATTTTCATGGGATATTTAACAGGTATTTTAACTGAGGCTGAAGTCAAAGGTGTTTAGTGAAGGGCGAGATGTGGGGAATGGGCGATTTGCCTGGATTAGTCTTCTGGAGCCCTCCCTAGAGGTGCCCGTTGTGGGTGCAAGTGTCTGGCTTGTCTGCCTGTGCAGATCTGGCAGCCATGGGCACTGGTTAGCACATGGACACCTTGCCGGGGGCACCTGGTGGCAGGTGCCCAGAAACACTCTCGAGGGCATGTCCAGCAGGGCTGGGAGCAGCTCCCGATTCCCAAACGATCTCCGAAGCCTCGGGTTCCAGGAAGTCGTGTGGAGAGCGCCGACTGTCCTTCTGCCCCCTCCGCTTCTCCGTGAGCGCCAGGCGGGCTGCCGTGTATCTGCTCGTGGCTGTGACCGACACCGCCATGCAGAGGGCGAAAGAGCCCCAGGCGAGGCTGCCAACAGAAGGCACGGTCAGGAAAGGGCCTGGGGCTGTGGCTCCAGGGCTTCCTGCTGGAGGGCAGTCTGGTGAAAACCCAGCTCCCGGGTCTACCCAGCTTGGACCTGCATTTCCCATCACAAATCCCAGAGACCAGCCAATGCATTGTTCAGCCCGCTGGTTAAGAGAATGGATTCTGGAGTCATTGTGCTGAGTTTGCACCAGGGCGCCACCTCTTATTAACTGCGCGACCTTGAGCTGGTCACTTTACCTCTTTGAATCCGTTTCCTCATCTCCAAAACTAGAATAACGTCAACGCTGCCACGGGGGGCTCTTGCGAGGAATTCAATGAGCTAATGTGGGAAATACTTAGAATAGTATCCGCTGCATGTCAGTGTTACTTATCATTGTTGTCGTTGGCTCTAACCCAGGACACTGGCGTTGAACATGGTTATTCTTATGTTCACATCCAGGCTGGAAGCCCCTTGCATGCCGAGACAGTGGGCTGTACTTTGCATCCTTTGCAGAACCCAGCACTGTGTTGGCAACATGGTGATTAGCACCTACTTTAGACTAAACGGGGTTCAAATGTTTGTATTATTATGAGATAGAGAGAAAGGTTGTGTGGTGGACACAGAGCTAACTTAGAGAAGAGCAAAAGGTAGAGCCCACCAGCCACCCTTCAGATGGATAATAAAAATAATTCACATTATTGTATACTAGATGCTCTGATGAGCACTGGATTATCTAATTTAACCTCACCTCGACCCCCTGGTGGGAAATACTATAATTACCCCATTTTACAGATGAGGAAGCTGAGAAGTTATGTAACTTGTCCACAGTCACCGCTTTGAAAGGGGGACATCCCGCATTTGGGTCCGGGCCCTGTGACTCCAGGGACAGCCGGCTGGCTTGCTGGACTGCCGTCGCCCGGGACTCTGTACTCTGTTAACCAGGGACGCCCCTCAGGGCTCTGGGTGGGGCCTGGTTTTGTTTAATGTTTTCATTAAGTGGGTGATTATTATAGTTTAACCGGGCAAGAATAGAAAAAGAGTGGAAAGTGAACCCTGACGGTGAGGAAAATACTGTTTTGGGGGGAGGGGAAGTCCCGGTGTCCATAGGGGGCGCTGCGATCTGTGCTGTTAGGTACAATACGGGATAAAGGAGGAGAATTTTTCTCGCTGTTTTCTGATGACATCAGGTGGATTTGATGCTGCAACCCCCAAATCGGATGAAATGCTGCACATCACGCAAAACAGGGGAGGGAGGGGACTTCTGGGTTTAAATGGAAGGTTGACTTCAAGGGCTCATCGCCTCTCTCCAAACCCCACTGGGATGAGAGCAGAGGGATCGGGTACCAGTGTGAACACACCCGCCCGGCAAAGGGAATGGAGAGGAGACTAGAGAGAGGACAGAAACAGCTGGCAGAGAGATGACCCGTTCATAGAGCGAAGAACGCTACACAGAAAGTCTGCCGACAGGGGCCCCAGCAAGATAACAAGGATGTTTATGATATCAGCCCCACAGAATCCTTGACAGGCTCAAAGCTCTGAGGCACAAATGCAGCACAAGAAATCAGGAGATTGGCTAAAAGTCTGGTTAGAGTGGGGACTAGGAGACAGGGCTGAGACTGAACTGGGGCAGGTGTTAAAGTAAACAACCAGGTGTATACTTACATAATGGGTGTGGTGTGCACCACCTGGGGGTTGGACACTCTTGAAGCTCTGGCATGGCAGGGTGGGGAAGGGGTGGCAGGGGCAATATATATAACCCTAACAATATTTGTACCCCCATAATATGAGGAAATAAAAGGAAAAATTATTAAAAAAAACAAAACAGGAGCTGATAACTGCAGGCAAGAACCGGCTTCCACCAGCTGGTCAGCTATCTCTGTCACCTTCCATGAACTTTGGCTAATAATAATATCATTTACATTGTGGTTTTAAAATTCCTCTGTCCTTGAAATCATATTACAGTTGCAAGACAACCATATAAAGCATGAAAATGGGAGGGAACCCAGTTCTAGGAATTATGACCCAAATTCTTAGTG